TTCTAACCTAGGGTAGGGGAAACTGGAATGGGTAGCAGAACAGGGAGATGATGAATAACAGTTGCAGTTTTGAGTTAATCACCAGAAATGCAGACTATAGTTTGTTTCACTAAACTTCTTCTTATAATTTACTAAGCAAAAAATAAACCATCCAAATCATGGGACATATCCAGACATAGTGAGTATACCAAGAATATTTTCTATTTGAGTGGTATGAGAGGTGTACTTTAATGAAAGCTCAGGTTCATTGCCTAGATTCCTTCTTTGAGATGATGAAACCGTTCCCCTGAAAGGTCATAGCTTGATCCTTTTTCAGAAATTACCCTCAGTCCTAATATCCATCTTACTCAAAATAATGCCTCTCCCACTAATACACATGCAATATTTGGGGATTTTTTGGTTTGGTTTTATTTTTGGGGATGGTGCTGGGGATTGAACCCAGGGCCTTGTGCATGCGAGGCAGACACTCTGCCAACTAAGCTACATATCCAACCCCCAACAATTGGTTCTTAAAAGGCATACAATGGCCCAGAATTCTTGACTCATTTTAGTATAAACCTGACAAACCCTCTCAGCTTCAGATCTCCCCACAGAATGAGTTCTCTGTAGCAACCACAGTGCAATCCTGCTTCTTTCTCTACCAGTATTCCCCTATTCATTGGCACAAGTTGATCCAAAGGACACTTTCCAATTAAATTCTTGCATTTAATTTTTCTTGCATTTTTTTCATATCAAAGTTAATTACCAGAGAATATAAGGAAAATAATCCTACATTTCTAGATGAAGCAAAAAAAAAAAAAAAAAAAGCTGTCAGATGCTATATTGACCACACATAGTTCACTAATTATTTCAATAAATAAGACTTTCTTCTATGCATCATCAGTTTAGAGCTTGTAAATGGAAGAGAACTAGCAGGCATGGCCACTAGAAAGTGTCCTGTGGAATTATTGGGAAAGAACAAACCCACTGGCAGCAGATGCCTCTCAGAAATTTGAGAACCAGCACCCAACAGGTGGTAGTGGATGTGAAGCCCAGTGGAGAGCATGTTTACAAATTTCTTTCCTGAAGAATGGGTAGCATGGGGCAGGGGGAAAGACATCTGAGGGGGAGAAAGATATTCTTAGTAAGGGAAAATATCATGAATGAAAATGAAGATGGGATGCCTCATTATGAAAGAGAGAAAAGCCGAGCTACAATAGAGAATGTGCTATGTGAATTACTGAGAAATATATTTGGAGAGTTGGATTGTGCTATCTAAATTGCTGAGTGTATGGCAGCAGGAATAAGGTAGAAAGAGGTGATAAATAGGAAGCCATTTTTTTTTCCAGGAAGGAAAGAATAATAATGAATCTTGGGGCTGAAGGGATTTAGCCTGGCACAATTGAATAGGCTAGATGGGGATAAATCAGAGCCTAGAATTAGGAAACTTAATGATGAGAATGTTGCAATAAACCAAACTGAAGTTACTAAGGAAATAGATGCATATGTGATTGAGACACATTAAAAAAGCCTTAGAATTTAGGAAACAATTTTGATACTCATTCAGTAATGTTTATGCCTAATCATATGCTACTCTGTAAAGGAGTATATGTAGAATAAGCAAAGGTAGGAATCAATTGCAATGAGTTAAAAAAAATCATCTTTGTATTGTTCATTAAGACATGCAGCTGAATGTAGGCAACATAAACTTATACCATTGGGATGTACTAACTTGAAACAGCAAGTTTTGCCCGATTCCCTCAAGATGTAAAGATTGCTCTTAGGAAGCCCCAAGAGGCATGGATTCTCTAGAGGAAATGCTGTGCTCAGGCTCCCAGAAGTGCGCATTTGAGTACCATCAGCAAAGGAGGATGGTTTGCCTCAAATATCATGGGAATATACAAGTGTAAAGGTCATTGCTAAGGCAGCCAGGACTCAAATCACTAAGGGACCCAATGCCTGAAATCAACACCTCTTTTAAAATATGTGAACAAAAGAAAGAATAGCACAGATGACAGCCTGCTTGGTAACTTCAAGCAGGAATTGAGCCACTGAAGCCACACACTGGACAGTCACATGTAACAACCCAAGGGATATCCAGCTTGTTGACTGTAGAAACCCAGGTTATTAATCTTGACAAAAAGACAGATGTCTTTGTGTCTGAAACATGGGTTAAAATTAGGTTATTAAAAGCAGGTCACCTCAGGTAAATGCTGTACTCAAAATATAATTCAAAAGAGTGATCACTCAAATTTTCTCAACACCAATATCCACTTCAGAAGATTCCACAGATAACCTAACCAAAAATATCAAGAGAAAAATTATTCATACTACTGAGATTTGAGGTATTTCACTGGCTTTTAGAGCTTCAGGGTTTATTCTTTGTATTCAACCTGGAGTAATTTTTTTTTTTTCCCTCACAAGCTAATGCCAAAGGATGATATCCCCATTTGGGCAAATGCTTTGATGTAAAATAAATAAATAAATAAGTTATTGTCAATGATGATTACATTCTTGCTTTTTGTGTGTACATATGGGTTTGTGCATGCACATGTGTGTGCGTTATTTGTTTCTCTTAGTAGTCAATTAATAACAACTCTAACATGATTTTGTTTTGAAAGTTTTAATCTTCTATTTTCAAGAACAAAGATAATTTCTATATATTGCATCCAATTAGGTTTATTTTTTTCTGTTAGCATTCTTTATCAATTTTCCCTCAGTGGGTAGGAGTGTTTACTAATTTTTAATAACTGAAATGAAACACGGTGCTATTATTTTTAAGGCTGAAGGGGAAAGTATGTATATTTGGACTAAAATTTGAAATTGGATGTATTGAGGCTCTTTAGGAATAAAATCGGGGTTTTTTTATTGATATTTTTTAGTCTCTCTGAAACTTCTAGTGTGCCGAGATTAACCAACCATGACACTGATCCTGGAGAGAAAGCCTACCCACACTGTCACTGAGCACAGGAAAGGAAAAGGCTTCCGTTTTCTATTAATTTGTCAGCATGAAATAATTTTCCAACATTTCTTATGGCAAGTCCTGTGACAAATACTGTAGAAAATATTCAAGCTGATAGGATACTATTTAATTCTAGTAAATATTTATTTTTATTTTCACCATTTATTTAGATACAGAAATCTATATCCCTACATGAAAGCAATACAAACTAAAAGCTGTATTAATAATTCCTACTCATTGCTGATGCTTGGGGAGAGGGCTAAAAGGACCCTACTTCTTCTTTGGCTTGCCCCAGCCTCCCTCCTCATAATACGATAGATCCAAAATTCTATCTCAGGACTGAGAGAGCCACTGATAGAAAAATAATAATAATCCCACAAAGTTGACAACATATGGGAAAAATGGAAGCTCATTTTTATTCAATGAAGAAATTTTATGTTTTTTCTCCAAGAAGAGTTGGTCAGTTTTGGTTAGTAATCCAACTAGGAAGCCTTAATAAACATACACCTACCTACTCAAAACCAAGGTACATGTGGTATATATTTACACTTGACTGCAATTTGTATAATGTATCCTGTCAGTTCACTGGCTGCTATAGAACATTCCAGAATCCTGAATATTTGTGTATTCAATTTCTAAATAAAAGTAATGGGCAAAAAATTGATCTCATGTACTATTTTGCCTTTAGAATGGGTCTGTCTCCAAGAATGAGCATAAATTAAAGTAGGTAGCACAAGTCTCATCCTTCAGGATAGGTCCTTTGCATTGTAAAAGCAATACCATGATTTGCAAAAATCTTTGCATATGTACCTTTCCAAGTGTTTATAGTATCAATAATATGACTTTGAAGGCATAAAATCCAGAATGTTTTGACTATGTTTATGTATTATTGGCCCAATATTTTTAATATTTTACTTTAAAAAGTAAACAAAGTAGGAATATATATTTAATCTGGTAGCCTATTTGTTTGTGGTATGCATATTCAAAAACACACCTGTTCAAACTGTACACAGCACTAAAAGGCTGATGAACTAACCACACTCTAGCATTTCTGGTTAAATGTATTCAGCAATCTGAAAATATTTCTTGAAATACATACCTGCTGCCTTAGACAAACAAATATATTTTTAAGGAAAATATTGATTGACTACTACTAAATGTTTTATGCTTGATATAAATCAAAAACTGTGCAAAATTTTCTCGGTCCTGGAGTCTGCAGGTTTTCAAGAAGTACCTGATATCTGTTGGGTGGTTAAAAGATAGGAACAAATTTATGTGTATTAACTGTTTTTACTTTTCAGGAAGAACGAAAGTACTACTGTTTCAAAGAACATTGTTTTTTATTCCCTTGGTACCAAGTCAATAAAAAGCTCTTCCAGCACAGCAGCTGTTGCTTAATGGCCCTAAAGAGTTAATATACGGCCTAAATTGAACACAAGTCAGTGTCTACACTAAGTAGGCCCTCAATTAGTGTTGATGGATTGACTTTCCCAAGGCAGTAAAAGCACAATTCATAGAGATGGAGTCTATACAATTAAAATCAATAACATTAAGAAAATTGTTTCTTGAATTCTATGCTTTTAGCAATAGAATATGCATAAACTTAGGAACTACATGTACTTATTTTTCGAATTTACTTACATATTTAGAGAGTTCCAATAACTATGCCAATCCAATCTTATTAGGATAAGATAAATTAGGATAAGATAATTACTCTCATTGTGACACAGGAGCAATTATGACAAATTTTGAAAAACCAAATATCGGAAGATAAGATGCAAACATTGACAGTAATAATTTTTAATGTCAGTAATAAAGATTGCCTATCGATGAGAAACATTCCTTCTGAATTGCACATCACATAGCAGATCACACTGAATGTAGAGACTTTGATAACTACATTATTTTAGGCTACTCTGATGACCTGTTTTTGCAGGTGGGCCAGAAGTGATCATTGCATTTGAAAGCATAATGAATTTCCTCTTTGGCTTTCATCAAGGGTGCATGGTTTTACCCCTTGATCAGGTGACAGATCAGAAAGCATCTGCTTAGGCAAAGCAGGATCCTAGAGTGCGAGTGAATGGGCTGCTGTCAACTTGTGTGAGCACTGCTCCTAAATCATATGTCCAACCCAGAGCTGTATTCTCCACTTGAAAAAGTTTGAGCACACAAACTGACAAGCATCTAACAGCACAAAATGGGAAGCGGAATTAGTTCAGAGAGCAAGGAGTCGGCCAAAAGGTCCAAAGAGCTGGAGAAAAAGCTTCAGGAAGATGCTGAGCGGGAAGCAAGAACTGTAAAGTTGCTGCTGTTAGGTAATATTTTTTACCCATTGCTCTAAAAAACTGACTTGTCTTCAACCATGATATGTTTACATTTTTCCAACTTTAAGTGTATTACCCTATGAGGAATTTATTATGAAAATGTGTTTGGAAACACATTTGTATTCACTGTAAATATTTCATAATTTATTATGTTTAGTATTTAAGTACATATTTTTTGTTAAACAGGTAAATATTTATTACATGTTTCAATTTGTCAATTTGCTATTCTAAAAAAAAACTCTTATGCATTTATTATTTTATATCATCCTAGTTATTTCCCAATGTCAGCTTTTTAATACTGAAAACATTCTTCAATTAAAAGTTATAAATAGCTATATTATTTTGTTTGAAGAGAAATGTGTTGAGTGGTTTGAAACTAAAATTAATATATTTATTTAAATTGTGCTATTAAAATCAATTAGTCAAGTAATTTAGAGAGTAATGACAAGGTACTTCAAATTATATCAAAATATTATTTAGATTACTGAATATTACCTGTGTTATTACCTGTCCACTTAAAAAAATACTGCATTTGATTCCTTTTAGAACATGTGTGTGTGAGTGTGTGTGTTCATTTAGTTCAAGAATTATGTTTGTTCTATGTTTTTTATTCATTTTAAATGGAGAGCAATATTTCAAGACAATTTTAAGTTCAATAAACATTTATTTAAATGAAAGAATTAAATAATATGTATCCTACACATTTTTCATACACTGTGAAATATTTAACATACACTTATCTCTGAGACAAAACAACAGGAATTGGGGGCTGATTGCATATGAATGGTAAGTGAGAGGAGGAAATAGGATAGAGCTAGGAACAGTGATTATTTAACTCAGCAATATGTGAAATTCAGGACAAGTTTGAGGCTGGGGAAGAAAGGAGTGGAGTCACTATTTAGGATAAATCCATGATTATTTTTAGTACATCAAAAATGGAAATATCTATTAAGTCAATATATGGGTCTTGAAATTAGGAGGGATAACTCAAGAAGGAGTTATGTATTTTATATATTTAGTCTCTATTTTTTTTCCTAAATGTTTTTCCTTTTCCCAATATCCAGTCAACACAGACAACTTAGTAATTAATTGTGGCTTTTTAAATTTAAATATTAATTTATAATAAAAGTTGTATTCATGATTATTCCCCAAAATTATGAACACTTAGACAATAGATATTTAGTAATCTAAAATAGTCCTGCACTGGAAAAACAAATCATAAATTCTTTATTTTAGTGTCTGTATTTTCTGGCCTAAAGATCATATTATATAAGAAAAATAATATATTTTCAAAAAATAATGTTATCAAAATCCAAGAAAGCTTATATGACACTTAAAAACCAAGTTATGGATGTATGATTCATATACAAAAAGTTGTATGTATTTAATATATACAACCTGATGAGTTTGGACTTAAGTATAATACCACAGCAATCTATACCATTCACAAATTTATCACTTCTAAAAGTTTTTACCACCCTCCTCATTACTATTATTATTTTATGATAAGATAAAAATATCTAGAAAATAGCAAATGTTTAATTATACAACACAGTATTATTCATTATAAGTTATAATGGGTACTATGAATATTATCACCAATTTTTTAAAATCATTAAATCAGAAGGTGGACTATTAAATAAAAGATAACTTTAAAAGATAGAACACAAGAGATTTCACTATAAATAAAACATTTAAATAGTTTGGCTGATAAGGAATATTATAAATTGATGTTGCTTATGATTGCTATATTACAAAAACAGGCACTCAATATACAAATACCACACAATTGCTTATGTGATGCACTGAAATACATTACTTATGTGTTACCTATGCTAAAATATTTACATTGAATCTAACCAGACACAACATATGTGAAAATAGTCCCATACCTTAGGAAAATGCTAACATCAGGAAAAAAGTGATAATATAACAAGAGAATATTTGCTAAATTAAGAGTTTAAATAACATAACAACAAAGGAAAAGTATAAGCTATGATTGTATCTTGAATGCAAGAAATACAAAAAGCACAAAACAATTTTGGTGACAATCAGTTAAATTTGAATATGTAGTGTTTGTTAGGTACCTTCTTGGTTCAATATAAATTTTCTTACAGTAAGCATGAAAATACTATTTTATTCTATAGAAAAAAAATGGCCTTATTCTTAGAAGAGACATTCTTATGCATCTTTTGGTTAAATTGTTTGATCGCTTTCAAAAGATCAGCAAAAAAAGGATATAAAAATGTATACAGAAGTGTGTATATGTATATATGCCTATTAATGAGAAAGCAAATAGGCAAACCATTCATAATTGGTAAAGTCAACATAAAATGCAGCTTTCAAAGTACTGTGTTTTCAAACTTCTATAGGTTTTAATGTTATCACAACTAAAAGTTTGGAAAAAATAAACATTGTTTTATTCTTTATTTCTGTCAAAGAAAATGCACAAATTTATCTGAAAATGTATTAATCTTGTTTTAGAAGTAAATTGTACAAAACAGTCCATGGACATATCATCTCAACACTATAAAACTTTTTAAAGAAATTATTCTTAGTTCATTATTTGATAACTTGATGACAAAAATCTGACAAAGAAAAGGGCTGGTATTCATTCTCACAGATAGAGATACACAAGCCAAGTCAAAATACTAGTTAACTGGTGTCAACGATGTATAGAATGTAAGGGGAAAAAAGGAACCAAGGAAGGGTGCAGGTTGAAATACTATCAAAACATGAGTTAATATTATTTACCATATTATCATATCAAAGGAGATAATCACCATAATTATATCAGGAGATGTGAAAAAATAATAATAGCATTCTTCACTCATCTCTAATAACACTTTTCAAACAGGGAAGAGAAGGGAATTCCCTTAACCAGATAAACAGTATGTACAGAAGTCTTCTATGCTCATCATACTTAATGACGCATATTTAACATTGTTGACTACGTATCTTGAACAAGGACTTACAATGATTAATGGGTTTCCTGTTAACAAAATATGAGAGCTTCCTGCCCTTGACCATTTCCTCTTCAACACCCCTATCAGGGATTTGGGTGAAGGTGGATAAGACATGCATTTCAAACTCAAGTAAGATTTAATGGGAAGGATATAGTAATAGACTAAGTCAAAATTCTAAATGTTCTATATGAGCAAAAAAAATGCATATTTTCATTTGAAAGAAAATAAATAATAACCCAATGTTGTTTATTTTTTCCAAAACTTTTATTTCAATTTTATTATTATTATTTTTGCTACTGGGATTAAACCTGGGGTCTTTTATCACTGAGCTCTGTCCCCAGCTTTTTTTAATTTCTTTTTTTTTTAAAACAGGTTCTCACTAATTTCCTTAAGGCCTCCCTAAATTGCTGAGGCTGAACTCAAAATCATGATTTTCCTGCTTTAGTCTCTTCATTCCAAAATTTTACCATTGTAAAACCTATATAATTTTGATAAAATTGAAGTCTAGAAACCTGTATCAAAAAGCTAATCATTATATATACATATATATTTCTATATATATATTTCATATACACACAGTTTGTGGAATAAGCTATATAGAATGAATTGATGTGAAAAAAATAGAAACATTTTAATTAGAGCCTCTATGTAGGTGAAAAATGTGATAACAACAAAAGGCCCAGGGAAGGGAGCAAACAAATCATAGTCTCTATTATGAAGAACATTTTATTAAAAAACAAGCATCAGGTGAGGCAGACTTAGTTTGCACTCCTATCCTACTATATTAGGATATCAATACTCTTTGTAAATATTGTATCTTCAGCACAGTTTTCACTCTTGACATTCCAGAAGAATGTTGGTTCTTGCATGGAATGTAGTTCAGAGGGTAAGAGGTCTAACAGTCATGCTCCAATGAAAGAATTAAAAGAATGTAATACACTGTACTTGGGAAATCTCTTTATAAAGATGGTAGCACATTCTTCAAATGTGAGAAAATATTGAGATCTCACTCTATGTTACACTATGTTCTAGGTCATTTATATCCATAATTTAATCCTCACAATCCCTAAACTTTTAAAAAAGAGGAAGCTGACTCTCACAGACATTATATTTAATGAAGATAACAAGTCATAGTCAGAAACGAGTGTAAGCCTGTATTTAACCCCCAAACCATAAGGATGCCTATGCCATGTTTCTTCTCTGAGTCCAGACTATTTGAAGGGCGGTCACGTAAAAGAGACAGAAATTTTTGATGTTGCTAAATTAGAAGGAGGGATAATGAGTAGAGCAAAATCATTGTTTCAAAAAAGACTCCTCAAAACATTTTTAGTGTCAACAGATGACAGCCAACACTGCAATACAATTTGTCTATAAAATCACACTTTCCACATTAACTTAAAATGGGAGCAAAAAGATTTATAAAGTAAGTATTGAAACACTTTTAACACTGATTTTATCAGTGTATACCTAAAAAGAATGTGACATGACAGCACATTAATGTGGGAGTCAGGATAGTTTCTCTGTTTTGAGGAGATGACGAACATTGAATAACTACTTTAATCTCTACTGGACAATTTCTCTCATGTGCATAATAAAACTGTATACATAGCTGGATAATTTCTAAAGTTTCTACTCTATAATTATATAATTTTTAAGACCATCTACAAAAAAACTTACTTATGGGCTGAGGTTGTGATTTAGCAGTAGAGCATTAGCCTAGCATTGATACTGTCCAGCTTTAATTTTTTTTTTCATATTTGCACATAAAATATGGAATAAAAATCCCTAATTTATTATATTTATAACAAAATAATTGAGTATTAAATTAAAATAATTGAGAAGTATAAATTTAAATATTTAGTTATTTGAAACATTATCTGCTTCAGAGGAACAAATGCATATCTTCTTAAAATTCCCTTGGTACCCCTTGACTTAGAAAATAATGTTAGTGAGGACCATAATTTGAAGGGAAGAGATTATTTCAGGACACTCTCAGCATATGTGAACATGCTGTTATGGTGTCTA